TTAACCGGAGAATTATTAGATGATCCCTGCAAGGAAAAAAGCAATAGTTGGTGTAAAAAAAAAAAATTTTGCCCTTTCGGGTAAAGGTGGGTGGGCAAAAGTACAGTAACTGTGAAATTGCTGGGGTTTGGTAAGCTTGTTTTTTTGTTGGTGTATTAGTTTTGATGTATGTGGCCCTTTCCCTTATCTGCATCATGGGTGTGAATGGCGAAAGTTCCAAGAGTAGTTCAGGTTGGAGCCCCTTTTTATCCCCTTGATGCATTGCTGTTATGAGTTAGTTTCCCCTAAGTTTGAGGGGGAGCGTGTATGGGTGGTGCAAAAAGAATGGAAATCAAGGAATTTCTTGTCAGTGGATGGGGTGACCTTGATTTCGATCATTATACACCCCCGGGGTACATTGATGAACACTTAGAAATTGTACCCCTTTTTAAGCAAGAAAGGTTTAAATGGGCTTTTTTTAGTGACAACACCTCAAAAAAGTATCTTTGTGATGTCAGAAAAGAGATCATTTTTTTGTGGGGAAATCAAGACCCCATGTTTGGGCCTTGTTGAAAACATGCCCTCAAACTTCCCAAAAGTCCCCAGACAAATCTAAATATTTCCTGTATTCGGGGGAGGTAGCACTTGCTGCTTCCGGAAAATATCCCTTACTTTTTTCATTCCCCTTGTCCATTTTTTGGCCGTTAGGGGAAAAGGTTGCAGTTCTTAGCAAAGCTCCGCTGAAAAAAATTTCGGGGATATAGATCAATTGTAGAACAAATTATTAAATTTTTGAACTTAAGTGATCGCTTTGGGGGTTTACTTGTAGAACCCTAGGATAATGGGGTTTTTTCGCTACTGAAATTTTAAAAAATAGATTTTTGAAAACCCCCACCCAGAAAGTTAAAAATTTCCTCGCAATAAAAATTTTTGTTTCTTTGGCCCGCCGTTTCGCTCGAAAATTTTCCCACTTTCGCAATGCGGGTGATGAAGCAAGCAGTTTAAGCTTTTGGAGGCCCCAAAAAAAATTTTTTGGTTTTTGCTTGGCCACTTTGAAATTTCAAAAACAAAATATCTGAAGCCCCTTAAAAAAAAGTTATTACAAAATGACTTTTCATCCCCCACAAGAAAACATCCCAGCTTGCAATCTTTCGTAGTTTCAAAAAATTTTTTTTTTCCCTTGCAGAGTAAAGGTAACAATCTGAAAAATGTAGAGTGATAAAAATTTAAATTTTTCGTACAGACATGAAATTTAAGATTGTTTGCCCCCAGGCAAAAATTCTTGGTTTTGCCCACACAGAAGGCTGAAGCAATTTGGCAAAGATCATTTTTAAACCGTTTCAAGAACGATTCAAAGAACTGTTATTTTTTCTTTCATTTTTCAAAAATTTTGGATCTCCCATTTACCCAGAAAATTATGATAAAATGTTTTTAAAATTAGATCGTAAATTTAAAAATTTCCCTTTGGCACCAAAATTTCCTCTGAAATCGAAAATTTCCTGAGATTATCTGCTGGTTGCTAAGGTTTTGGCTGTGGGTTTTTTAAAAGTGATTAGGAGGGGTTTAAAAATTTGGTCAAAAAATGATTTGTAGATTTTGTTTGGTTAAAATAACAGTTTTTACCCTTTTTTGGAGTGTAAAAGACTATTTTATAGCAAATTTTTGCATTTTTTGGGTGTTCATTTTAAGAACTCATTTGTTCGAGATTGCCCAAAAATAAAAAAAAGGGTATTATTTAATTGTATGATTTTAATCCTGCTTCTTCCCGGTTTTTACTAATTAAAAAAGAAATAAAAATTTAACCAATACGTCTAAGATATCAATTAAAGAAGAAGCACAAATTGTGTTTAGCTGACCTAAAAAACATAACTAAAGGGGTTGTTAAACTTGTGTGATGCAGTAGTGAAAAAGGACTCAGGAATGTCCGGAGAAGGGACTCACCCAAAATTTCTAATGACAAAAACTTTCAAAGTTTGGGTTTTTATATCAGGGATTTGTATGAAAAATTTTTGTTTTTGTTTTTTTTTTAAAGATCTATTTTTCCATTCAGCCAAGACAAAATATTATATTATATATTATTATACGGGGGGGGGGGGGGGGGAAAAAAATAACGTTATTTAAAACGTTGGGCCCCTTTTAAATCAGTTTTTGATTGCCTGATTAAAGGACTTACTATAACCCTCATTCGAGGTTTGTTAACTCAAAGAATATCCAGTTCATTTTTTTGAATGAAGGGTTTATTGGGCCCCTTTATTTGATGTTCGAAAAAACGGATCGATCCAAATTTCGGATTTCTCTGTAAATAATTTTCCTGTAAATAAAAAAATCAGCGTATTTAAGCGCCAGATTTCCACTCAAATACTGGCCCGGCATAAAGCTATAGTAGGACCACAAAATCAAATTTACCCTACAAATTGTTTATTTTTATATAGTATAAATTTTTTAAATGTTTTTTACTATTTGTAACAATTTGGGAAATTTTTTTAACTTAAAAATTTTTTTAGGGTTGGCTATTGTGTATTCAATAAAGTAATTTTTCCCCTTTTTTTTTCTGTATCCTTTTTCCCTTTATGCAAGGCAGACAGCATTTTAAAAGTGTGATGAGAAACCGGAGAAACTATTATATCTAGCTTCACCTTTTCCTTTTTGGGGAGTTCCTTTAACTTTGGGCAATTATTTCCCGATAGAAACGATAAAGCTTGTCGAAATTAGTTGTTTGATTATTTATTTTATTCATGCTTATTTTCCCTGATTTTTGAATCAAATAATCAATCATTCAAAAGGGGGCGCGATTTTTCCCCACTATTTAAATATTTTATTTAAATTTTTAGGATACCCCCGGTTACGATTGCGTACAAGCTTTCAAGTTTTAAAGGGAAGAATACCAAAAGAAATGTTCTAAATTATTTGAACTCTTCGGGGCTGGGGGTGAAATAAGCGCCGTTCAGCACCAAGAATTATTAAATTTTTATTTTTACCTTTTCATATGGGTTTGGAGAAAAAATAATTAATATAAATGAAAATAAGCAGTGAATTATTTAGCTCGCCGGTCTAAAAAATCAGGGCGTCCCCCATTACGCCAAAATCAAATTTTAAAACGATTTTTTTGGGGAAAGGGGAAAACATTCCGAAAATTTTCCCCACGATCACACATGTTTAGATATCCGATCAAGTTGGCGGTTTGAAGGGTTTAAAACCTCTTTTCATTATTAAAAAACATGTTCAGAAGTTCGATTTTACCACGTGACGAATATTCCCATTTTGCATGCTCAAATAAGGGGTATTAGCCACGTGACCAATATCCCTTTTTATGCACTGCTCTAAAAATTTTTTGGTCCGTGGTGACTATTTTGGTTAAAATGTCCATTTTTGTGACTTTGTTTACTTTAAGCTGCCCAATTAGTTTTCTTGGGTTAAAAAGTAAGATTAGGACGATCTAAAAATCATAAAAATAATTGGTTAAAAGGGAGGGGCTAAAATAATATGGCAAAATTTTGGGAAAATTTGTCACACTTAGAAACGTACTCTTTCCCACATCCAGAAAAAACGCCATTTTTCAGGGAGCCTGGAGGGGAAATTTTTTTTTTGGGGGAAAAACGGGAGAAAAAAGGAAATTTTTGAGAAGTTACTCCTAAATTTTGAAATATTTTTTGGAATAAAAACAAATTAAATTTAGGAAAATTTTTTAAGAAAAATTTTTCGATTGTAAAAATCAAAGAGGAAAAATCCCGTCGTTTGGGGAAAACAGTGAAATATTCTGAAATTTGGGGAAAGCAGTTTTCTGTTTGAAAATTTCCAAATTTACGTGAGTACTTGATTTTTTTCAATCCCGTTTTTTGCTGCCTACAAATTTCTTAAAGCCAAAGCCGTTAAAAACCCCATTTTTCCAAAAAATTTTGGGGCTGCGCCCCCTAGCCCCCGCCAAGGGGGTCCCCAAAAGGGCCCCCAAAGGGGGTCCCCCCCAAGGGGGCCCGCCCTGGACCCCCCTGGGGGCGTGCCCCCGGGCCCCCGCCCAGCTTGCTCGCTTCGCCGCGCGCAGTGGATTGGCACGTCGACTTCTTCGCTCGCCGACAGCCCCCCCCCCCCCCCCCCCCCCAAACTTGCGAGCGAAGCGAGTGGGCCACAGAATTTAGAAAAAAACGCATCTGGGAGGAAATATAAAACTTTCTGGATGTGGGCATCTATTCTACTACACTAGGTGTTCTCAAAACCCTTTAAACTCATTATTTGATGGTTCTTCTACCGATCATACCCCTAAAACATGTTTTTTAAATGGAAATTATAACAGTCACTTGGTTATTGAGAAATTATGTCAATTCTGTCACATTATTTGGAACTGGGTAAATTGCCAAAATCATTTATATCTGATTTTGGTTTGAAAAGCTGAAAAATCTATGTAAGGACAATACAGTTGATTCAAGGTTAAGGGCAGTTCATGCTAACATTGTCACAAAAATGATACGAAATCGTGAATAGGTTAAATTTCGGGAAAAATAGGCAGAGGGCTGCTATATTTTCTGTATAGATCAATTCTAACTATGTATAATAATAACTGTTGATGTGATCAAAGATCATATTATTTTGACTTTTACATTGATGTGACGGAAATCGGAATTAACATTCCTTGCCCCTATTTTGAAGAACCATATTAGAATTCAATATTCTTTCAAAAATGATTAGCAAATCGAAACTCAAGTTCTGAGTTAATTTTGCTAAGTTACCGAAATGTTATTTATTTCGGTAACAATTTATATTGTTACCTAACAATATAAATTGAATGTGAAAGAATTGGCCCAGGTTTCTATATCTGTAAATTAATCAATTCCAACTATATAGTAAGTACTGTTGATGTGAAAGAAAATATATCACGAATCTAACAGATTATTCCTCTTTTGCCTCATTCAGTTTCGCTTTTCTAAGATACTTTTTCATAAAAATTAAAAGTTGTTGGGAGATTCATATTATTAAACGTTAACTTAAAGAGATTCATATTATTAAACCTTAACTTCTTGTCAGGTAAAGCAGTGTTCGGCTATACCATCTGCATTACAGTGGGTGGAAGTTACTGATATTACTTTAGCTGTAGAGCTAGCTGGTGCAGTCAACTGTGTTAAACATATAAAGTAAGTATTTACTTACTGTTAAACATATAAAGTAAGTATTTACTTACTGTTGGATTTAAGTTATTTTACATTTTAAAACACTCTTTCGAATTTTTATGCCACATCAGACAGCATCAGTTGAACTGAATGATTGGGACTTGGGTTTAAAAATGTTACTGATCAATGAAAGAACTTATCAATAAAATATAAAAATCGTTATATATGGTAATCAAACTTTCCCATTCAACTGGTGCCCAATTAAATAACTTAAATTGCTTTAATTGAGATTGAAATGCCCTGAATTTGATATTTATTGCATATGGTTCCAGGCATGATAACAGCTCATATATAGTGGTGGGCGGAGAATCATCTGACAAACGAGGAATTATCTGGATCATCTGTATCAAATCAGGTTAGTCATCTCACATTTTTCTTGGCATGGTTTTCTTTTAAAAAACTCTGATTTTACTGCTGTAACCACACCTAGGCGTTGCAGCCGAAATGAAAGCTATTAACAGTTAACCAATTAAATATGAATATAATGCTTTCAGTATCGACTCGTTGTTTTGTATCATCTACCTACACAATTATCCCCGGAATTAACTGTAACAGCATAATACGCCATTTCTTCGTGTTTTCCATCAACAATTATTTTCCACACTTGGATAAGACCAAAATCGAAGTCAGCCAATTTAACAAAACTTAATTGGATGTATGTATCATTCATAGCAACTCGTGATAGCTTCAAAAGTTCATAATATTTAGAGCTGATTTCACTCGAGTTACCAGGTACGGTCAGGGGACAGCTTTACAGAGAGTTTGTGCCCTAAAAATGCAAACTTTTAATCATGTATTTGTGCTATACTGTAAATTGCAATGCGATTCTACTCTAAATGCTGAAAGAATTTCTTAAATCATCTCACAAATTGACGGATATATATATATACTGTACTACTAGTAGCCACTATATATCTGACTGTAGGTCGACTGATCCGGGACTGTTTCACGACAACCAGGCCGGTGACGAGCCTCTCTTGCTACTCCTCCCCTTCCCTCCTCTCCTCTCCAGGTCTAGTCCTGGTAATAGGTACTCTGCAGTGTCATCTCTACATCCTTCACATTAATCCTATCACTTCCCCTAACTCCAAACAGGTGAGGCTATCATCCATAAGTTTGGGATTTGGCCAAATAACTATAATGATGAAACGAGTGATTCTCCCATATATTAAAATATTAATAATTAATAATTATTGTACGATGTATCAAGCTTTGAACAAGCACTTACAAACCAATCATTCTCCCAGAAACATCTCCTACCCACTACATTCCTTGAGGACATCTCGGCTGCAACACTGGGCAGCATTACGCATCCCTGTTTTGAAGTGGGCGTTAAATCCAGAGTCAAGGTGGGTCTCGGTAGAGAACGGTTTTGCTAAAATGAGTTGTCATTTTAAACAAGACACCTTTAATTGTTTAAATACCCAGTGGAAGGTAAGCTCGGTAAATGCGGCCTTGGAATTTTTCGATCACTGTGTGTGGGGAGTTGTTACTGACATCGGGTCAAAACTTAGGAACATCAACCTTATTGATGAGGGGACCTATATGGTGTACCTTTCTCACATGATCACCGAAAGTTACTCATGATCATGATCAGGGAGGTAAAACGATCACCATACCGGACTGTTCCATGGATCCTTAAATCCGAAAAGTCGAATTTTATTTCTATTTCACGTGTGTCCTAAACTTTTTGGAAATAAGAGCACTTGAAATTATCCTAGGTTTATCATCCATAGTCATAAAAACAATGAAAATTTACCAAATACTGACCATCCGGCATGACCAATTTCAGCTTGCAAATGGAGTTGAAACTCGCGATTTTAAGTAAGGTTGTAGAAAAAGGAAAGGAAGAAGAGACAGCTTTCTTAGAATTTTCATGTTAAGGCTTTAATTTTTTTATAATTAACGTCGGAAGAGAGGAACGATTAGCGAGAGAATAATGGCGTTATTTTAGCAAAGGTTAACTTCGTCGTTGCATAGCAACAGCACGAGATTGCACGTGCAAGCACAGATTTAGCAACTTGCGTTGCCATTTTGTTCAAGTACGAAGGTCCTTGGGGTAATAGTAGATGAAGACCCAATTTCAAGAATCACATGAGTACTAAAAACTTAAGATGCAAAAGAAGTGGGATTAATCACAAAAATCAAACTAACCGCAAACTACGGTCTAAACGGATTACAGCTACTCTCCGCTTAAGACATGGTCTCACTAAAACTGTTCTACGCAGCACCTATTGGCCTTCAACATGTGTCTCAATCAAAATTTAACAAGCTTCTGGAAATAAAATAATTCTAAAAATATTCTGGATCAGTCCTGAAACCCACAAAGGGAATTAACCGAAACTTTGCTCTCCACCTACACCACTGGATGTGCAACTCGAAAGCCTCTCGGTTAAATTATGTGCAAAATACCACACAGGTGACAATCTTTCAGCTACCCTCTTTTTTATTTTTTTTTTACCAAGTTGATGAAGCAAATTACCAAGCTTTCTTGTCTTAACAATGTCACTGAAAAAAAGTATTCTTTGGGAAGAAACTAAGATCACACGGAAACCAGAATGATAGACCTAACACAGCAACATTTCAAAGGGATCTGGCCTATTACATCAGGCAGACATAACGAGCTACCAAAAATAAGCTCTGGATGACGCATCGAAACAATCTGCAATGCGAACTGCAGTAACAACAAGGAGACCCAAGTACTCGGTGTGATCGCAAAGATCAAATAACGGTGGGCAGCTCCTAGACAAAAACAACTTTTTATTCGGGCAAAACACGAGCTAAAATTCTGGCCAGCCGAATATGGTACTATCATTCACGGCAGCTCACCACCTCTGTTGCGAATATTCCGAAAGTTCATGGGTGGTGGCAGTGGGAGGCCTTTCGTTTCTGTAACAGCTTCATTGTTCTCCGTACACCAGCTCTATTGTGTCTGGAGGTGCAAGACACAAGTTACCTGCAACTGAAAAGAAGAAATGGGTGGGCAGACTCCCACATTCCTATCTAGCTGAAGTGTTAACAAAACGCAGCACACAAAAAGACATTCATTAGGAGACGTCGATTTCTTTGGGGACAAATTGATGCTCTCCAGGATTTTATCCGACTAGAAAAGATCATTAAATAAAGACTCTGCCAAACATCTCAGAGAAATATTACACCATAAGAACAAAAGAGGGGTATCCTGAGGACCCGAAAATCCACACTTTTCTGTACTTTCTGAGGACCAATGTGGCAGGAAACACAGGGTCATGCTGCCGCTGAGCTAAAGCAGTGAGGGGATGGCGCTTCTCTAGATCTACACGTCTGATGCAGACCAAACACTATGGTCCAACGCCACGGGTGTTGGGATGTCTGCCCCGGTGCCTGACCGGGTCAATAAAGGCAGTCAAGCATCATGTTATGTTATGTTGTGCATTTCCAACCAAACAAATGTGGAAACTCCCACGAAAAGACCAAAACCGATCTAAAGAGACACTTAACAACATGGAAAAAATAGACTTCAATTTGTTTATATAATTTAAACAAGCGTATATTTTGCCCACGTTAAGGGGGGCCTTGGTTAATAATTTAATAAATTATTAGCTATTTTAGATTTAATAATAATAATAATAACTTAAGTTTTCACCAATTTTTCTAATAAGTTTAAAAATTGTTTTTTTTTTTTTTTTATTATAAAAAGTATTCAAACATATCCACACAATATTGAATATCACAATGACCTATTTAAAATATAGGTAAAAGAAAATCTCTCAATTTAATGAAAATCACATTGGCCTTGTGGATCCAATATATATTGACATCATTTTTTCTCGCACCTCTGTCTCCCACAATTTTCTTCTAAAGGTGAAGTAACTATGGGAAAATACGCCAAACAGATTGAATGGCCTGGGTGCCAGTGGTGCACGTTAATTGAACAAATTAAACACCTTTTTTAATACTTATATCTTGAATTACTTTTTTTAACATGGTTTATGGTTTTTACCGGCACCGGAAGTTGAAAATGGTTTGTAATTATGTTGTTTGATCAAGTTTTGTATTAATATAATTAGGTGCTGGCGCGTATTGTGTGCCAATTTGTAAGTATCTTAGTAGAGGGGGTTGGGAAAGACGTTGCATGCACTTTTGCACGCGAAGCGCGCGCCGCCGAAGCCGGAAAAAGGGCACAGGGGGGTGAAACCAGGTTTTTCGTTCCAAATGCTGCCATTTGTAGTCAAATGTCGCCAACAGTTGCCCTCATCCAATGAAATCACTGCATTTTGTAAGTCAGTATGCAAAATTGTATTCCCATATATTCATATGCGGAGCTTGGCTTACATATGCAGCACGATTTCATTGGCGGAGAGCAACCTGTTGGCGAAGTTTGGACTACACATGGGCATGGCAGGTTTGATCGGAAAAAAATCCTGGTTTTCTGCTCCCCTGTAGATGGGGCTTATAAATTGAAGAAATCGGACTTTTTCGAGGGACGATATTTTGTGGTCCCTATTATTCTATTTGACCAAATTATGGGGAGTATTGACTGAGATCGCGCGAGCGTGCCACCAAAAAACGTTAAATGCATTCATGTTTTTAAAACCAAATTGCCATTATTGGAGTTTACTTGATTTTTGAACTATTTTTATTTTTAAATATATCTATGATATTTGGGATACGTGGACATGTATCAAAAGGGGGGGGGCAAAGTCTGTATACGTATTGCTTATCCGAGCCCTTGCGCTTGCAGTAGCGCGCGCCCGCTATGTAAAACAAGGCATCCCCGCGCCCGCATCGGCGACGATGAGCACATGGTTAGTTAGTATACTTCACTAACCATGTGCTTTCGCGCACTTCGAGCGCGCTTGTTTCACAGTCAAGAAAAGCACTATCACGAACCCCGATAAGAAGGTTTCGTGCGCGCGTTGCGCCTGTGACTGAAACTCGTCTATGTAGCGCAGGTAGTCTTGGCACTTCTCCCTCCAGTATGTGCAGTAACCACTTTTCAGGTTTCTATAGTGAATAGTGACAGTGTATAGGGGTTAATTAGGTATAAACCTAAAGTCCAGCTGTACTTACCACCTACATTCTCCATAAAAGTATGCAAGCTCACCAGGTCTTGTAGCGGCGGATGCACTACTGGGTCGCGAGGCGCGCATCCCAATAATGGCTTCTGTCGCAACCACAAATGCAGATCGGCGAGATGCGACGGATGACATCGTGAATCAAACACTGGTCCAAATGAGCGGGAATACGGAGGACAAGGTCGGGTGACGTCATTGTCACGTGGACTCATAGGCTCATAATCACATGACCTCAGGACCAATCAAGGATCAATTAGTTTCGGCATGGTCGCCCCTGTCCACCGATCATGAGGTGACGTACGGACACCTCGTTTACGCAATCAATGTCTGAAAGGCTACACACGTCGCATATGAGGACAAAAAGCGCGGGTAATATTGGCAACACGTAGAGTGGTGCAAAATCTTGGGTGGGTTCATGCTAGAGACCTTTTTACGCGTGAGGCGGGCGCGCGCTACTGCAAGCGCCAAGGCTCTGGATAGAGCAAAAAAGTTATACCTTTGTTGGGTTGTAACCACTGCGGTTGCCGTGTTTCATATTTGAGACATGTTGCTTTGCAAATGTCATACCCTTAATTGGCGATTTACCTAACCATGTGGCTTTCGCGCGCTGCGGGCGCGCTTGTTACCGCCGTTGAGGCGGGCGCGCGTCCACTGCAAGCGGCAAGGGCTCTGGGTAGAGAAATTGACGATGTCAATTCATGGCAGGTCGGGCGGCACAGTAGCGTTCTCGCCGATCTGCTGTGAGATGCCTTATTAAGTGCGCGCGAGGCACAGTAACGCATCGCTACAAAGTCATACCGTACTTACTTTACCAAATCATTTGGAGATTTCTGTCGCAAAACTTGAAAATCTGTGTTCACGGCCACAACTCATCAATATTGAATTTGTATACACTTATTTTTTGTTTGTATCCACGTCGTGATCCCCCACTGTCGTTTTGCTATAGTAAATTTACGAGGCCCCTATGAGTTTCAACGATACAGGGGAGGCCGCGCACGTATCCGGTGGTTCATACATACGTTGAAAAAACTTTTATAAAATTTTGTACCAGATCTTTATTTTTTAAGGAAAAAAGGGAGACCCCCAACCCTTGTAGCTGAGACACCTCACTGCGAGTAGACCAAAGTGGCTTCGCTTGTGAAAGATGTATCAACTACCCGCCGTGGCGGTGAATTGGATGTTTTCCCTGTTGATCATTCCGTCCGCAAAAATTTTACTTACTATAAAATTAGCTACATTGAAATTATTTATAAAATGTACATAAACAAACTAA